TCTTGTGTTGCTGAATTTTGCCGATCCACTGCCTTTAAACTACACAGACCAAGCTTCGTGCGATATTGTCATCTATGCACTTAAACGAGCCATTTTATCATTTTGTGGTAGTTGGAGATTTTCAGAAATAGCCTGCCACAACCTCCAGTCACACAATTTTTCACAAAATTTCCCAGTTACCCCCTACAGGTCCGGGTCCATGTACCAAGATTTGTGCTATATCGTCGCCAGTTCTTTGCTAACGAGCCATTTTAATTCACATCTTCAGTAGCCAGTTATGAGAAATCTTAGTACACCATCCTATCACATAAGTTCTTCATAATTTTTCTTACCCTGTCCACTAGCCTATGTTCCTTCATTTACGCAACTTGGTACCATATCATTGCGCATACATTGAGAGCTAGTCTTGTGTGGTGTTTCAATCTGCATCGGTCAAGCGACGTCGCGCGTACGGCAATCAGCGATGGCGCGATTTGACTCGCGCGAAAGCCAAATTTGTGAGGGAAAGTCTAGATTTGGTTGCCATTTCAACTACCATTTTTTTCGGGGCCTGCATTTTTCCCCATCCGTTTTGGGGAAAAACAAAGGGACAGGTTATTAGATGTCCCCTTTGTATAACATGAAGTTGCAAAGCTAGATTTGTTTGTACACTCAGTACACTCACTGATGTGCTCAACATTGGAAGACGCAAAAAATGGAAAAGGAAAAGGGTTGAAGTGGCGTCTTAGCAGGGGAGTAAGCTAGTAAATAATACATTTATTTTTTGAGAAGAAAAGAGATACTCTACAAAGTTGCTATCTTATCAATAACTTTGAAAATAACTTAACATAACGAAAATTCAGGGTTGGATTTTGCACCATGCAACTGGTTGCGCTGTGTCTTGGAGCTCTCAACTATTTCCTTGATTTGCCCTACCATGGTCTTCCTCGATTCGCTATAGCTGTGACAGTACTCTTGACAAGCATTGTACTAGATGTCTTTATTCTTGTAGTGAGTTTCATAGATATTATTGTCAAAAGTTATGTAGCCTTCAAAAGTGTGGAATCTACTCAACCAATCTGTTTCTCACCAACTATTTTACTCGAGCGTAAGGGGATCTACGGCTCTAACATGAGAGTATGTTAGTGTACCTATGAATCCGTCAGCATTATATAGTAGATACAGGAAATAGCTTTGCTTTCAGAATGATTTGCACGCTTTAGTGAATAGCTTCCTTTGTAGTAGTTCAGGTAGACACTGAATTACTTTGGATCTAGCGAGAAGATTCTAAGACATGTCACCATTCGTATGAGGAAATTCTGTTTCTTTATACCTACCTGTAATATTGATTTTA